TTGAGATGAAAATATCAAAAGTCACCAAAATGAAACGGCTCCGAATCCAACAATACTTCTGGGTTTTGTCGAGGACAATACCGTGAACATTAAACTCCAAAAAGGACCTATCAAAATCCTAACTTGACCTCATACCTAAACTCAAAAATTAGCCAAAAACGGGTTCTAATAAGGGGGAAAGATGCGCATAGTCAAGACAAACACAAAATACAAAGACACTACGACTTTTTAACAAAGGGAAGTAGGTTTAATTGAGAAAAGAAGGGTGGCAGCCCCCTTGGGTTGCCATGGAAGCTTCTAGTCGTGCATGAAGAGAGGGGAAGATCATTTTTTAATTTTATAACCCCCTATTTATAGTAAAATCCTAAAAGTGTTCCGAAAGGGCCTCGCTAGGTCTGAAAAAGTGGAATTTGAGTAAATGCGCTCAAACGGCAAAATTCCGTGAACGATAAAGAACCAAAATGAGAAAAAATGAATAACGAAAGAAACGGCATCAAAAATCGAGTCCCGAGTAGAGAGGTATGCCTCGAACAAATTCGGCAGCAACGGGGGCCAGAAATCCTGAAACTGGGGGAAAACGACCAAAAGACAATTCTAAGAGTATACGACTTGACGAAAAGTGAAAATGAATCCCGTACGAGGATCTAAGCTCAAAACGAGGCATTTTCGCAATAACTTTCATTAATTGCACAATGGCCCCTCAAAAAAGTGAAAACTGCACTAATAATCCAGAATGAAAATATCTTACAAAAATATATTTTTAAAAACCCCCGAAATAAAATATCTTCAAAAGATATTTATGAAAAACACCCTAAGAAAAGAAAAAGATTCTAAAAAACTATGCATCCATACCCCTATAGACACTGGGAGAAACCAGAGTACTTTACTCAAAAAACAAAGATACATATTTCGTGGAAACCACTTAGAATGAAAATACGTGAAGTCAAAAACCAACTTCGAACAGAAAGTGAGGTTATGCTAACAAAGTGACAAACGGGGAAAAGACAAAATAGGAAAAATGATGAAAAGTGAATAGTGTCGAAAAACGAAAAATGCAGAAATGACTCGGTTTTTAAAGGAAGTTGTCAATCCAAAGGAAAGAGTATCAAAAACCATTTCCGACCACTCGAGACGATACTAAGTGACGAGAAACCAAGCGCAGAATAGAAAAGATAACGAAAAAAATTTATCCGTAAAATTTGAAGAAAAGGGAAAGGAAAGAAAATGACCGGGTCATTACAACTATCCATAATAATTGGGTTTAAACAGATAATATATTATATAAATCATTTTCACGATTATAACATATTGAGTTAAATAGGTCATAAACGAGTTACACAGGTTGAACCCTTCAACCCTAACCCGATACGGTTAAGTAAACGGGTTAATCGTGTCGACCCTTTTATAATCCAAACCCATTTATGTCAAACATAAATCCTTTTAACTCATATCATGTTCGTATCATATTATCGTGTCGTGTTGTAATTTGTCACCCTTAATGTTAACTCATACAGTAATATTGTATATTACTGGATAACAGAAATTAAAAACATTTCCGATCCAAAACTCAGATAAATTTATCCAACTAAAAGCAAAATGTCTCAAAAACGTACAATGTCTTTTTTTTTTTTTATTTACGGTTGCGAGTGGGTTGTTGATGGGCCAAAGTGGCAGCGCATAGCAGGCCAGTAATGGGCCTAAATGGTCCGCCCTTGGGGCTATGACCAAAGTCTGGCAGGCCAGCCCACCATCGCCCGTTGGACACTCTAAGAGCCTTACACTTTCCCCAACTTACAAATTGGAAGACTATTTAAAATATTTTAACAAAAGTGTTTTACTTTTAAATATTTTTGTTAAAATTAAAATAAGCTACAAAAACTATACAGTACAAAACCTCATAATTTACTCTGACCATTTTTCTTAATACTCAAGAATTGTTATAGGAATGTTCTTATATATATTGAATAAAAATATAAATATTTGACAAAATAAATAATCTGTACTTCTCTGTCAGTCAACTTTCAAAATTTCAAATCGTCATTGATTCATACGTCTAAATAGGCATGAACTGAACGCAGTTAACATAAAAAAAATACATCTGACTTCAAAGTATTACGACAGGTTAATAAATTTGCTAATTTACTAACATCAACAACCGCTTAAAGCATTGCAGTTGAAGTGACATGAACCGCTACTTAAAGTATCTCAGATTTGTTTTACACTATGCATATTTTTTTGATAAATATATTTTTCTTATTTTATATATATGACAGATGCTATCTATATCTATATATAAGTAGGAAGGCATTATGCTTCCTAACAAGCGGTTAGAATGCATCATAATCAAGGGCTTAAGATTTAGGTTTTTAAAATTCTCTGCCTAAACATTACATATTTACAAACTCTCTATGCTCTTCTACAATCATTTTTAATTTACCCTTTTTTCAAAATCTTCAATGTTCTAAAATATTTCATTTCTTTGAACTCTCCAAACTTTCATATTATTTTTAGTCTTTAATATTATTAAAATAATAATATATAAGACATAAGAAAAGAAAATTAGTATATACGTGGTCAAATGTTTAATGGCAAACTGTTTTTTTAAAAGAATTTTTTTTTATATCTGAACATATCTGTAATCGTATTTTTTCATTTTTACTTTTGTATGCTGAATATTTTGAACATTTTTAAACAAGAAACGGAAATTATATCTGTATGTTTAAGAACACATTTTTTTTTTTAATTTATTTTCCTACGACGGTGCTAGACTACTAGTTAGTTAAAAAAATAAAACTAAAATAAAATTAGGATCAAATTTTTACACTCACCAAAAAAGAACAAAAGATATTCATATACATATTGCCAGAACTTGAGCTTGATTAAATTATACTCGAGTTAATATTGACTTAGAATCATGATTTTCAAGCTGGGTGTGAAAAATTACTTAAAATAATTTTATCTAAAGTTCCCTCTGCTTACACACAATGGTAAAAAATGACCATAATTATATTGTCTTTCTCTAAAATCTGACGGTGTAAAAATCACTTTAATTAATTTCATACTCTTAAAATTGGTTCTAATTACATGTGGTGATCAAGAATGATTTTAATTACGCTAAAAAGATCAAAATTAAAAACAAATATAACCAACAGTCCCTTTTAAACACAAGTTGAAAGATTGTGTACGTAATTAGTATCGTTTAATAGAAATTACTGCATCCAAAGATTCCAAACAAGGACAAACATAATATTAATGTCACCCTTGGAAAGAGACAAATTTTACATACTTACCGACAAGGAACAGATAAGAGTTGATACATTCGTGTATATATATCTATATATATATGTATGGAAAATCTGAAGTCTGAACCATAAGATAATATATTAGAATTTAACTGCAACTATAATGACGTATAATGGTGGCAGTGTATCGAAGAGTGAGTCACTTTAAGCAAGTTGATGAGGGATAAAGAAGCCATAAACCGACTCAACCACAAAATGCCAAAACTACAAATATATATAAATATGTATATATAATACTCCGTATATATTTAATTATTTGGGTAAAAGGTGAGATTTTTAGTTAAAGGGACATAGGCCCCATGTGATGAACCAAAACCTGTCTGCAACAAATTCTTATCTTTTGGTAACTTGGGATGGTTGATTTCAGCATCAGTACATGTACAGAAAACATATTATGTTTACGGTTAAATTTAATCACTGTTATTATTAAGTTTTATTAATTTTTAATGATAAATAATATTAAGTTTCACCCATTTAAGTGGTGAAATTCACCATTTAAAATACTGAAATTCGTAAGGGTAAAGTACAGAAAAGGGAAAAAAAAAAAAAAACTTTTCTATAAAAAAAATTATGCAAAATAAACCAATGTTATTTAATATATGCATATAAATTATTAATATTTAAAAATATGTACAAATTGCCCCGGTCAATTTTGATCAATTTTTTTTATAGAAAAAATCCATTAAACCCTTAATAGTAAGTGTTCTTTATTTTTTTATTTTGTTTTAAAGATATTTAATGAGTCACAGGTCCAAACAATTTGTAATAGCCTGGTATATTTTTTAACACATTACATTTCATTTTTAGCACAATAAAAACACAATAATTTTCATTAAAAAGTAAATATAAAATATATGTTAAAAATACATGCAATGCCGTTGAAAATCACTCTCCAAAATTGTATTTGCAGAGCATTGAAACTAAGAAATTCAAAGATAAATTACAAGAAGGCTTTATAATCCATTGGTTCGTAAGAGAATAATGATGAATAATGATGACATGCAATGAACGGTTACAAATACTCTATCAAATAAAAATAAAGTCAAAAAATACGATCTAGCGTGGTATGTAGTTTTGTATACATAACCAAACTTAAAATGGTAATTAATTTAGTAATTTTAAAATGAGACAATATAATAATTACATGTCTTTTTAAAAAAGCAACATCTAATATGAAACAGAAAGAGTACATATGCTATGAATTTTGCCGCTTTATACATTTACATATAAACACAGTGTATAATAGTTTCTATTATATGAGTTAGATAAAAGAGAATTTAAACTAATGTCTCCCATCTTTTTACATGTAACTAATTGAGTCCTCTTTTCTATTTTCATCTTTATTTATTTAAGTTATATTTTTCACAATATATGTATAAATTTTTTAAAAATTATATTAAGATTAATTTACAAATTTTTAAAATTTTAATTACTTTGCCGGCGTCCCCCCAACTTGCAAGGCTTTTGTCAGTTCATTGATTGTCCAGGGAGACAAGCGTAGGAGTATCACATGGACCAACTAAATGACGGATAAAGATCCTTGACCTCAAAACCCCATCCACAACCCCACGAACCGACTCAACCACTACAATCCAAAACTACTAAACAACAAATAATAATCAGATTTTTGCTATAAATAGCAATACTCTCTTTACCTTTTTAAGCCACAACATACTTCAGCAAAATTTAACCATAACCATGAACATGTTTAAGAGTGACCAACCTCAAATTCTTGGATACGAATCAAGCCAACACTACCAAGCACACACCAACAATACACTAGCCACTGTGTTGAGCCACTTCCACGCTCATGTTCCATCACCGGGGCAGTCTACATCGACCCTGGTCCAGACCATCGACGCACCACTCCCTCGAGTGTGGTCCATGGTCCGATGTTTCTCCAATCCGCAGGCCTACAAGATGTGGATAAGGAGATGCACCATGCATGCCGGCGATGGCGGCATAGGAAGCGTGCGCCAGATCGAGCTCATGTCTGGCCTCCCGGCCACCACCAGCACGGACAGGCTCGATTTTCTCGACGATGACATGCATGTCATGACTTTTAGGATCATTGGTGGTGATCATAGGCTTGTGAACTACCGGTCTACCACATCCGTGCACCAAGAGGAAGGTGGTAAGACGGTGGTGGTGGAGTCCTACACGGTGGACGTTCCCGCGGGAAATACAAAAGAAGAAACGTGCTGCTTTGTTAATACTTATATTGGGTTTAACCTTAGGTCTTTGACTAGATGCACGGCTGGGAATTAGCTAGCTACAGTTTGGTTTAATTAAGCTTTTCTCATGTTGTGTTTGTGTTTGTGTTTGTAGCTCTAGGTACGGAAGAGATCATTTGCTTATTCGTGTAAGCATATAAACTCTCAGACTTTTTATTTTAAAAAATTATAAAGTAATAATAGTTTTCTATTTGAGTTTAGTTTAGTCATGTAATAAATAATGATGTTTTTGTTTTATGAAAAATAGAGTAACCTTTTTTTCCAAAAACTTGAATCTAATGATTAATTTCATTGGGCTGAAAGACACAGAGGCCAAACGCACATCAGCAACTCGTAACAAAACTAGAGGGGAATATGGACCAGCCCAGCACATAATCACGTTTTCAAGTTCGTAAGCCGCCAAATGTTTTTATGTTATGTTTAAGAACATTGAATTAATATTTTGAATTTAAAATTGAAACAAATTTACTTCAAAATTTTAATTAATTTTTTTTTTAATTTCAAATTCAAGTTGTCGATTGAATTGAAATCTCCTTGGTGCCAAAAGTTTTTGTCTTGATTTTTTTAAATATGAGAAGGGGGTTTGATTCATAATATCAAGCAAGTATCATAGAAAAAAAACAAAACATAAGGGCAAATGGGCCTTTGGTTCCATATCCATCTCTATTAGCAAGAATCAGAACTTTTTTCAAAAAGTACAACAGAAGGGCAAATGGGCCTTTGGTTCGAGTTTTGACCCAGTTCATAGTAGTCAAAGGTCGATGGATCCTTGAACTGGGCCTGAAGTTTTTGACCCAGCACCTTTACGAATTTCTTTTTGAATAATGCTATGACACTAGAATCCACTGGGGACTCAAACAAGCAGTGTAGAGAGTCTCTCTCCATTGGTCCAACGACTACTACATTTGTAAAAAACCAATCCGCATTTTTATCACATATATATATATATATATACATATATTATCTTGAATACTTATTACTTATTAGCTCAGGTGTGATTTGCTTTTATTTTAAAAAAAGTTCTATATTGGAAAACAAATTACGGTCTAATTGTATTCTTTGGCATGGAAGGTAAGCTATATTGTTCTCTGCGTCAATCACGCAAGTTTTCCTTGAAAGTCAAAAGGATTATTGTGGTTTATGAGTGCAAAACTTCAATGGAATCATCAAGTACATGGTAAAGGGAGTGAATTTGATGGGGAAAGGCAGGCTAATTTTCTGGTTAATGCCTTTCTGATGTATGGTCAGTCGTAAAATATTTAGAAAGGAAAAATATTAAAATTTAACAAAAATAATTTACTCGTCAATTTTTCCGTAAGTCATTTTATACGTCATATCTCGATCTCAACTTCGATCTAAACCTTTACCAAATACCAAAAAAATAAAAATAAAAATATATATTTTTTATCTAAAAAAGAAAAAAAAAATCAAGAAAAAAAATTTACGTCAAAACTACGGAGCCTTCATGTCAATTGGCTCACCATATAAAGTCAAACACGTCGCTAAAGTGGTTAAACCAAATAGTATTTGGTATAAATACTATTGACGTATTTGCATTGTTTCAATATTTTATTAGACCATTACACTACACGGATGGACCTTGAAAAATATTATAGTTGATGAATTTATACAATAATAAAGTAAAAGTAAAATCAACTAATATTTAAGTGAGTTATTGATTGATAATATTTTTGTAAAATATATTAACAATTGTTTATGTGTGTTGAATACAAGAGAGAGACAGAGATATAAAATGTGAAGTGTTCTGTATAATATTGAAGATCTATTTGGAGCATGTACAAATGGACCAATAAATAAGCTACTGTGCAATGGCTATACAATTGTGATTAAGCTATAATCACGGCAAGAATCAATGTGCAACGGCTATAATATAATACACAGAATTTTTATATTAACATTCCCCCTCAAATTCAAGGTGGTAAAGCAGAAACCAATTTGAGTTTGGAAACTCATTCCCGAAATCTACCTGGTGGATGAGTTTTGGTAAAGATGTCAACGGTCTGATCAGCGAAAGTTAAAGAATGAAGGCGTACGGTCCCCCGAGCAACATGTTGACGTACAATATGACAATCAATTTCAATATGTTTGGTGCGTTCGTGGAAGACATCACTATGAGCAATGTAAATAGCACTCTGATTATCATAATAGAGAATAGTGCCATTGGAATGAGAGACACCCATATCCGTTAGGAGTCATCGGAGCCAAATAAGTTCTTGTATGGAATCAGTAAGGGCATGGTATTCAGCTTTTGTACTAGACCTGGAAACGACGAATTATTTTTTGCTGCGCTAAGAAATGAGAGAGTTACCAAGAAAGATAGCCAGTAGTAGAACGCCAGTCAGTTGGATCACCTGCCCAATCAACATCAGAGTAGGCACGTAGCTCAAGTGAAGAATGAGTAGAAAAGTGAAGGCCATGAAACATAGTCCCTTTAATGTATCGAGAATGCGTAGTAAAACAGTATAATGAGTAGATCGAGGCGCAGAGATGACTGACTGACAAGATGCATATCATAGGCGATGTCAGGTTGAGTAACAGTGAGATATACCAGACTGCTAACCAACTGTCGATACAATGTGGCATCACTGAGGAGTGTACCATCTAGAAGAGTGAGCTTAACATTGGTCTTAAGTGAAGTAAGAGCTGTCTTGCAATCAATGATACCAGCATGAGCAAGAATGTTAAAGGAGTACTTGGCTTGGGAGAGATAATAGCCATCCGAATCAGAGAGAATTTCCAAGCCTAGGAAATAGTGGCGGCACCTAAGATCCTTTATATCAAAGTGATAACTGAGAAATATTTTGAGTGCAGAGATACCTGCAAGATCATTACCAGTGATTATCATGTCATCAACATAAAGTCAGAGAAAAGTAATACCAGAGTCAGTTTTGCGGATAAAAAGGATAGAATCATATGAGCTTGAAGTAAATCCAAAATCTCCAATTGTAGAACTAAATTTAGCAAACCAAGCTTTTGGAGCTTGTTTAAGACCATATAGTGCTCGACGAAGTTTACAGACTTGATGTGGAGAATGGTTATGTGACGACCCGAACCCGAAGGTACGAACCGTTAGCCGGGTACTTACTCGAACCTGAGGTCATCTACGTCAAATCCATCATTTCTAGAGGTGTGACGACACTTATAGGATCATCATTAAATCTTCACGAAGGCTCAAAACAATTCTCCAAGGGTCGAAAGTAGGATACCTTGAAGAGAAGAGGGAAAATGAACAAACAGGTGCACTTCGGTCGACCGAAATGGAGCTTCCGTCGGCCAAAGTAGACCCTCAAGAACCGGTCGACCGAAACCCTCCATCGGTCGACCAAAAGGTGAGATTCTGAAAGCAAGAGGATGGTTCGGTTGACCGAACCCTATTTCGGTCAACCGAAACAGGAGATCCTGAGAGTTTGCAATTAGTTCGGTCGACCGATGAGCCATTTCAGTCGACCGAAATGACTCATTCGAGTCATGATCCTGTAATTGACTTGCTGCACTTGGAAAATGAACTGAAATGGTTGAAGGAATTTTAGAATGACCCGGACCTGAACTAAACCATCAATTATAAAACATTCAACGATCATGAACTAATGTGTCATCATATAATCATCTTACAACATCACTTGCTACAATTACATACAGATATACACAATGATTACATTAGTTTCATTTACATTCAATGAAAACTAAGTTTCATTCTTAAGTTACAAGGCCATGAATATTAACATTTGTTACATTCTCAAAACTATGATTATACACCGAATGGCCAAAATACAAAATAGCAAAATGGTCTTCTAACAACTTTTAAGCTTGCGGTGGATTATCATCCGCCGATTCCTTTCCATGACTTGAAAAATGATAAGTATATGGGGTAGGCAATTTGCTCAGTAGATGGCACTTAAGACACGCTCCTTGTGTCCCCGTGAATCCATACAAAGAATAGAGCAATGGGAATGAGGATCATACCATGTCGGGATAATATAACACAACCACTAATCTCAACATAAACATTGTAATGCAATGGAATACTATGCATGCTAATGTCACTCTCCATTTTCAACATTCAAACCATCGCTTTCAAACTATTAATATAACCTGCCATTTGGTTACCTCGCAGCGACACGAGAGAAGGATTGACTAGTATCCCTGACCCTTGGTACCCCTGCAGCGTCATTATGGGCCCAGCTAGCTCAACCGTGCTAGGGCAATCTCCTTAATTCCCTCTAGGCTATATTAACATTCTGACCCTTTGGTACCCCTGCGGCGACCGGGTTTTCATAAAACAAGTTCATCAAAATACTTCCCCGAAATCCCCATTTTCATTTCAAAACAATCTTCTCAATCATGTCCCATGGTATGCAGGTACGTCATGTTCTTAATGCCATGGAAATGAAGGCTTTCACACTATACAATTATGCATACACTATAAGTACTCTAGGGAAATTACACATGCCTTCACACATCATTTCTAACAAGTTCTACAACAATATAAGTATGGTAGATTAACTATTAGACAAAGAAATTAATCAAATAAACACGTTCTCAGACACACGTTCTCATACAACTTAAGTTACACATTTAATCATAACTTCACATATAACACTTACATCATCTTTAAAACAATTTATTTAAAAATAAGCATATTTTACAACAATTTAGGAGGTATAATTCACAAAAGAACAAGAACATCATGAATTAAGAACCCCTACCTCTAAAATGAGCAAAACCCTTGAAATGGGTAAAGAATTTCGAAATCCAAAGAAAGGCCCAAAGCTGAAATTGTTGGTACTCACGCGTAGAGCTCGTCGTGCTCTCCGCTTTGCCTCGAACGGCGCTTAAAATCACTAAGAAATGAAGTTGGAATCAAGATTTGAAGTCTTGAAACCAAAAGAAAAGAGAAATGAAGAAGAAATGAAGAAGATGGAGAAACTTACGGGGAGAGAGAGTGTGGGAATGAAAATGTGGTCTCTGGACCACTTACGAGGTAGTGGTGGGTCCCACCACTAACATTTCTTT